ATTCATCTGTTAATCTGACCAACAAGAACTATCAACTGATTCATCTGTTAATCTGACCAACAAGAAACGTGTATTGATTGATCTTTTAATGTGATCAAAAGTAAACATGTATCGATTCATCTGTTAGTCTGACCAACAAGAACTATCAACTGATTCATCTGTTAATCTGACCAACAGGAAACATCAACTGATTCATCTGTTAATCTGACCAACAAGAACTATCAACTGATTCATCTGTTAATCTCACAAACAGGAACCATCAACTGATTCATCTGTTAATCTGATCAACAGGAAACATGTATCGATTGATCTTTTAATGTGATCAACAAAAACATGTATCGATTCATCTGTTAATCTGACCAACAGGAAACATGTAATTTTTATCTGTTAATACGGTCAACACATCAATATAAAAACGATTTACACTTTGCCACATCCTCGGTGTAAGAAAAGTGAAAACTGTGACATAATATTTATAAATTTAATTTAAAATATTTTGAGTCAACTTCTATTTTTGATTAAGAACAATGTATAACATAGACAAGTACAAAAGGTATTGTAATCCATTTTCTAACCAAACTATACTTTGTTTCTCTATGCATTACTCCATATAGTTCTTTAACCAATGTAGCATTCGCTCTCAGCATAAACTGTTATCCTCTTCAACGAGATTGTTAAAATAAACATTTAAACTAACTAAGACTTTTTTTTCGGTTTCTACAGAAAGTATTCTACTAAAATTCGAGTTCAAATATACCGATAAACTACTTACCAGCAGCTTTAAATTCTAACTTGAAGGCACTGGTGTGTGAGAAGCTGTAAAATAAATCTATTACTAAAAGCTTCGACAAGGACTCGAAACGCGTGGATGGATGTGTACTGATACCACAAAACTTCTGACGAGACTGTCTATAGTAAGGTTCGTGGATTTGAATATAATCACACCTATTTCAAAGAAAATTTAATCACATTTAAAACAGCTGTTGGTACATTATGTTATCGTTATAATGATGAGATGAGCTACATAAAGAAAGCCAAAAAAAACTATTGAATAATATTTTCTCAAGAGCTCTTGTAGTGGTTGATGCAAAGTTCCATCCATCTTGTCTGTTGAGTTGTTAGCTTTAACAAGTAATATCTTCTATTATGAAGCGGAACCAGTAACTTGTAATATTTGTTAACTTTAAAAACATATGACTCAACATATTCTATATTATTCCTTAGCCTTAATTTTACCTCATGAATATTCAACAATTCTTTTTCATTCGTTAACCCTAGTTCTATATCATGACTCTTCAACATATTCTGTGTTATTCGTTAACCCTAGTTCTATATTATGACTCTTCAACATATTCTGTGTTATTCGTTAACCCTAATATCACATCATGACTATTCAATACATTCTATATCATTTGTTAACCCTAATACTACATCATGACTCTTCAACACAGTTTTTCGTTAACTTTAATACTGTATCATGCACATATGACTTTTTAACCTCCTGAAATATTTGTTACCATATTTTAATCAATGTGGAGTTGTATTTTCTTACCTTAATACAATATGTATATTAAACTTTTCAACATAATATGTCTTTCCGTATCTTCTAAAAGTACATACTAACCATAAAAAATATCTCTCTATATGTTCTAAAGTTCTCACTAATCGAAGTACAATTTTCATCAGTATTGTGCTGTTTAGTAACAATAATATAGCGCGTCTCTTCATAATCTTCTGTAAACATTGTCAACCCTAACACAAAAAAGTGTCTTCAACATCTCACAATATTTGTTAACTCTAGTATATTATTTAAGTAATTATTGTAATATTTGTTAATCATAACACATTCCGCTTCAACTGTGTCTGTAGGACTTCTTATGCCTTATATCACACACTGATTTAAGAGCGTCAACAATTTTTTAAACTATACTGTTATAAGTATATTTCATAATTGCTCACTATTCTTTCTTCAGTGTAATTTCCTAAATAATTTGAAGTTTATTCTTATGTAATATATATATATATATATGCTAACCCTAACAGCAAATCACTTAACGTGCGTTTTTCTCTCTCTCTCTTTTATGTTAGTTGACTAACTTTCTATTCCTTTTCTACATTTACAAAAAAGAAACTAAGGCGTGTCGATCGGCGAAAATGGAGGATTTTGATTATAAATAATGCATCAGTTCATAGGATGAATATAAAAACACGTATATCGATCGACAAAAGAAATGGTTTTCACTGATGAAATCCCAGTGTGTAAGGAATATTTTTAAAGTATTATCAATCTATTTTTCAATTAGCATTCGAACTTATTTTGTTAAATCCAAAAACAAAAACTCATTCAAAGCCATCACACACAAAATAATATTCTTCAGCAGGCATCGATTGTGATCAATTGTAAATATTAGAAATCTTACTTAAAGTTGGAAAGACAACCATCGCCTAGTTTCTCTCAGGAAGTACGTACCGTTACAACCAGGTACGTACACCTCTACTGCGATCAATAGACATCAACTACTGCTTATTATTTTAATGGCTTTTTCTTCCTGAGCCAACGGCTCGGTCTTCTTAATGATCTTACTTTAGTGTCCCATCTCATTTGAAATCACTTTTGTCGATAATGTTTCTTTTGTGCCTTACACTGGTCATCAGACCTAAAGTACTTCAACTGGTATTTTATAAAAACCTATGACTCAATATGAGGAACAATAATAAAAACCTATGACTCACTATAATTGTTCCTCATAGTGAGTCATAGGTTTTTATTATTGTTCCTAATAAAACCTATGACTCACTATGAGGAACAATAATAAAACCTATGACTCACTATGAGGAACAATAATAAAAACTATGACTCACTATGAGGAACAAGAATAATAAAAACTATGACTCACTATGAGGAACAAGAATAAAAACTCACTATGAGGAACAATAATAAAAACCTATGACTCACTATGAGGAACAATAATAAAAACTATGACTCACTATGAGGAACAATAATAAAAACCTATGAGGAGCAATAATAAAAACTTATTCCTTTAGGACTTTTACAGAAACGTGTATAAAGGTTTTATTTCATTAATATCATAAACCCTATCCTATAATATGATTAAGGGCTATGTTTTAACTGTCCAGTACTAGCTATTACAGATGAACAAGTCTACAATTGACACATACACATTTCAGCCATTAAAAGTAGTAGTTACTCCCTAGTGGCGCAACGATCAGCTTGGGGCTCATAATACTAAAATTCGGGGTTCGATCCTTGTAACGACTACAGAACAGGTCTCAATGTGCAGCTTTGTGCTTCACAACAAACACACTAATAAAGGTAATAGTTTTTTTCACAATTTTACAGTATGTGAATGAAAATAACATTATTAAACAACTGAGTAGCCGGCTGATCTCATGAGTTGAGATAGGCATCACATTTATATCAGCAGACAGGTAAATATAAATGTAAAATATAGGTAGACAGGTAAATATAAATGTAAAATATAGGTAGACAGGTAAATATAAATGTAAAATATAAGTAGACAGGTAAATATAAATTTAAAATATAGGTAGACAGGTAAATATAAATGTAAAATATAGGTGGACAGGTAAATATAACTGTAAACTATAGGTAGACAGGTAAATAAAACTGTAAAATATAAGTAGACAGGTAAATATAACTGTAAAATATAGGTAGACAGGTAAATATAAATGTCTCACCAGCATGAATCATCATCACTGCATGTCGGTAGGTTCAAATAATGAAAAGTAATCACGAAGTGGCAGGAAGGACATGTAATTAGTTCTACGCTACACCGTTGTGGGGCGTTTTGTCGACTAGCACTTAGGTGCTCTGTCTCACTGGTTAAATTAACCAATGTAATGATGCCTTTTTGTCCTGCTTCAAAATATTGTTTTTTTCCATTCATCTCTTGACAGATATCTACAATAATATGAGAGATAAATAAATTAAAGCAGCACTTGTGTGTGTATATATTATATATATACTATTAAAAGGAGTACAACGTTAAAATAATCGAGCGATAAATAACTTATTAAACAACGGGAACAGCCCTAAAAATACTCTATATGTTTCGGTGTTTGACGCCACCATCTTTAGGTGTAAAAAAATGTATAGTATTTTTAGGGCTGGTCCCTGTTTTTAATAAATTGTTTATCGTGCAATTATTTTAACGTTGTACTCCTTTTAATTCTATAATGTCAAAGATGCTTGACATTGAATCTAACACTTATATTGTTGTTAGAAATAACAATAAATATAATAACTACATTAATGTTAGAATTAATACAGGATCAAACAAGTAAATCACTGTGGAACATAATACAGGTTCTACTTTATTATTAACATATAATATCTGAGATACATCATTATCATG